TACTTGTTAATATGCCTTGCTACTGGCACTTTGTATACCTTCTCCAGGTACTTATATTCCGTGACTACATGTACCTTGTATTCCTTTGTGCATGTACTTGTAACCTTGTGACATGTTATTGTATTCCTTGTTCATTACTTGTATTTCTTGTTTCAGGCACGTGTATACCTTGTTCATGTACTGGGTTTACCTGGCCTACATGTACTGGTTTACCTTGTAAGGGTCGTGTTTACCATATGTACATGTTATTGTTTACCTTGGTTTTGTTCGTGTTGTACTCTTGTACTTGTACGTGTTAGACCTGGTCTTGCTCTTTGTAGACCTGTGTAACTTGTTACTTTGGTTACTTTGTATATGTTCCGGTTTTCTTGTAATGTATCATTGAATTCCTTGCTACATGGCGTGTATATTCCTTGTACATATACTTGGTTTTTACCATTTCTACATGTACTTGCATATACCTTGTACATGGTGGTAGTATACCTTTGTACATGGACTTGTTATAACCTATAGCTACATGGACATCGTATACCTTGTACATGTACGTGGTTACTTGTGTACATGTACTTGTATACCTTGTACTATCTCTGTGTTTCCTATGATACAATGTAGACTTGTATACCTTGTACATGTAGTCGCTATACCTTGTACATGTTACTTTGTTATACCTTGTAACATGTACTTGTATACCTTGTTGTAATGTACTTGTATGACCTCTGTTCGTGTACCTTGTTTACCCATGTATCATGTACTTGTTTATTCCTTGTATATGTACTTGATAACCTGGTACATGTTCTTGTATACCTTGACAGTGTACTTGATATTACTTGTACATGTACTTGTCTACCTTGTACATGTACTTGTATACCTATTACATATAGGGGTTATACCTTGTTGACATGTGCTGCTGTTTTACATTGTATAAGTAATTGTATACCTTTGTACATGTACTTGTATACCTTTTGTACATGTAGTCGTATACCTTGTACATGTTCTTGTTTACCTTGTACTTGTACTTTATACTTTGTATTTATACTTGTATTCCTTGTACAGGTAATGGGTATACCTTGTACATGTACTTGTATTTCGTGTATAATGTACTTGTATACCTGTGTACTGTTACTTGTAATACCTTGTATATGTACTTGTATACCTTGTACATGTACTTGTATACCTTGTACATGTACATGTATTCCTTCCCATGTACATGTGATTGTTATACCTTTTATATGTACTTGTTATACCTTGCATATGTATTGTTTACCTTGATACATGTACTTGTCTACCTTGTATTTGTACTTGTATACCTTGTACATGTTACTTGTATTCCTTGTACATGTGTGTTTACCTTGTATCATGTACTTGGATACCTTGTAACATGTGCGTCCCTATCCATGTATATGTACTTGTTATACATTGTTATGTACTTGATAACTTGGACATGTAGCTCGGTATACCTTTGTACATGTACTTCGTATACTTGTACATGTACGTGTTTACATTGTTTATGTACTTGTATACCTTGTTCATGTAGTGGTATACCTTGTACATGTACTTGTATACCTTGTATCATGACTTGTTATACCTTGTACATGATGCTTGTATTACCTTGTACATGTACTTGTATACCGTGTATACTTGTACTTGTATAACTTGTACATGTACTTGATATACCTTGCACATGTACTTGTTATACCTTGTTCATGTACTGTATACCTTGTACATGTGCTTGTATACCTTGTACATGAATACTTGTATACATTGTACAGTGTTCTCTGTATTTCCTTGTTACATGTGCTTGTTTACCTTGTTACATGTACTTGTATACCTTGCGTACATGTAGTCGTATACCTTGTTACATGTACTTGTCTACTTGTAACATGTATCTTGTTTACCTTGTATATGTTCTTGTATACCTTGTTCTGTCTTGTATACCTTGTACATGTACTTGTATTACCTTGTACTGTACTTGTTACCTTGTACATGTGCTTTGTATACTTGGTAATGTACTTTTATACCTTGTACATGTACTTGTATACCTTGTACATGTGTCTTAGTATACCTATGTAATGTACTTGTTTACCTTGTACATGTGTCGTATACCTTGTTACATGTACTTGAATATTAGTGTGTGTTGTTCTTTGTATACTTTTACCATTGTACTGTTTACCTTGTACATGTGGCTTGTTTACTCTTGTACATGTATGGTCATACTTGTCATGTACTTCGTATACCTTTGTAGTGTACTTGTAGACCTTGTACATGTACTTGTATTATTGTACATGTACTTGTATATACCTTGTACTTGTACTTTATACCTAGTACATGTATTGTTTACCTTGTACATGTGCTTGTTATACCTTGGTACATGTTACTTGGTATACCTATGTACATGACTGAATACCATTGTACATGTACTTGTATACCTTGTACTTGATACTTGTATACCTTGTACATGTACTTGTATTACCGTGTACAATGTTCTTGTATACCTTGTACATGGTACTTGTATACTTTACATGTACTTGTTATTACCTTGTTCATGTTGCTTGTATACCGTTGTTATCATGTACTTGTATACCTTGGTACAAGTACTTGGATTCCTTGTACAGGTGATACTTGTATATCCGTGTACATTGTACTTTGTTTTTCCCTTTCGTTCATGTACTTGTATTCCTTGTACATGTTTTTGTATACCTGTGACATGTACTTGTATACCTTGTACATGTGCTTGTTGTAACGTGTACATGTACTTGATACCTTGTACTTGTACATTGTATACTCTTGTAACAGGTACTGTAGACCTTGTATCATGGTACGTTGTATACTTGTACGTGTACTTGATTTAACCTTGTGCATGTACTTGTATACCTTGTACATGTACTTGTATTTTCCTTGCGACTTGTACTGGGTAACCTTGTACTTGTACTTGTTTACCCCTGTTGTACATGAGACTTGTGTATTTCTGGTTCATGTAAGTGTATACCTTTGGCTTGTACTTGTATAACTTGTACATTGTATACTTGGTTTACCTTGTTCAATGTATTGTATTCCTGGATACATGTACTTGTTTCCCTGTACATGTACTTGTATTCCTTGTACATGTGCTTGTATACCTTGTACATGTACTTGTATACCTTGTACATGTAAGTGTAGACCTTGTACATGTACCTTGTATACTAGTACATGTCTTGTATACCTTGTTCTTGTCTTGTATACCTTGTACATGGACTTGTTTACCTTGTATATGTACTCTAGTAAAGATATATATTATTTAAGAGTATATATTAATTATTTTATTATGTTTTGTTCCGCCTCTGCGGTACTATAAAAGAGCATTGATGTTCGAATTACCCTGGATCATGCAACATGGGGATACTTCCTGTGATATGCAACATCGGGGATGCTGTTTCCTGGGAATCATGCAAAATGGGGATACCTTCCTGGGATCATAGGCAACATGGGGATGCTTTCCTGGATCATGCAACATGGGATGCCTTCCTGGGATCATGCATCATCGTGATGCCTTCTGGGATCATGCATCATAGTGAGGCCTTGCCTGGGATCATGCAACATGGGGATGCTTCCAGGGATTCATGCAACATGGGGGAATGGCCTTCCTTGGACTCATGCAACATGGGGATGCCATCCTGGGATCATGCAACATGGGGATGCTTTCCTGAGATCATGCAACATGGGGATGCTTTCCTGGGATCATGCAACATGGGGATGCTTTCCTGGGATCATGCAACATGGGGATGCCATCCTGGGATCATGCAACATGGGGATGCTTTCCTGGGATCATGCAACATGGGGATGCCTTCCTGGGATCATGCAACATGGGGATACTTTCCTGGGATCATGGAACATGGGGATGCCTTCCAGGCATCATGCAACATGGGGATGCCTTCCTGGGATCATGCAACATGGGGATGCTTTCCTGGCATCATGCAACATGGGGATGCCTTCCTGGGATCATGCAACATGGGGATGCTTTCCTGGGATCATGCAACATGGGGATGCCTTCCTGGGATCATGCAACATGGGGATGCCTTCCTGGGATCATGCAACATGGGGATGCCTTCCTGGGATCATGCAACATGGGGATGCCTTCTTGGGATCATGCAACATGGGGATGCCTTCTTGGGATCATGCAACATGGGGATGCCTTCCTGGGATCATGCAACATGGGGATGCCTTCTTGGGATCATGCAACATGGGGATGCCTTCTTGGGATCATGCAACATGGGGATGCCTTCTTGGGATCATGCAACATGGGGATGCCTTCTTGGGATCATGCAACTTGGGGATGCCTTCCTGGGATCATGCAACATGGGGATGCCTTCTTGGGATCATGCAACATGGGGATGCCTTCTTGGGATCATGCAACATGGGGATGCCTTCCTTTGATCATGCAACATGGGGATGCCTTTCTTGGATCATGCAACATGTATGTATATGCAGAACAACCACTGTTAAAACGAAGTGAAATTCCTAGCGCTTTCGTCATATCTCACATTATCAAGGAGCTGCAAAAATAAATAATCAAAATGAAGGCATATAACTCGACTCACGAAATCGTAAAGATATTACTGCAAACAAACCATACCATGGGTGGGGTTTGAACCCGCGATCAGAGTCATATAACTCCAGACCGACGCTTTAGCCACTGGATCAGCTGGTTACAATAAGAGTCATCTAGGTATATCTTATTGTAGCCAGCTGGTCCAGTGGCTATCACGTCGGTCTGGAGTTTTATGATTCTTTGATCGCGGGTTCCAACCCCACCCATGGTATGGTCTGAAAGCATATTAGAACGAGACTACACCTCACGGTCACCTAACAACACCTGACCTTTTTATGATGATGTAGGTAGGTATTTAAGGGCCTCTCAGACTCAGCTTACATTCTTGCTAATCTTTAATATTTTAACTTGTCTAATGAATATTATTTTCTGCTTATGGTGACCCAGTTATTATTATTTTTATTATTTATCCCAGGTGGTGACTGGAGTCCAGTTTACCAAGCAAAGAAAAGTTGTACATATCCAGGTACAGCAAGGTCAAGCCCTTCCACAAGGACTTGTCAACATGTCTACTGTAGACTGGGTAGACGTAGAACCCGTCAACTTGATCAGGTAAATTATTACGTCTGGATAATTGTGATGTATAATTGATTGTATACACTGGTATATATTGTATATGTTGGTACATATTGTATATATTGTATATGTTGGTACATATTGTATATATTGTATATGTTGGTACATATTGTATATATTTGTATATATTGCATATTTTATATATATATATATATATATATATATATATATATATATATATATATATATTATATATTATATATATATATATATATAAAATATATATTGCATATATTGGTACATTTTGCATATATTGGTACATATTACATATATTGGTATATATTGCACATATTGGTATATATTGCACATATTGGTATATATTGCATGTATTGGTATATATTGGCCTTATCGCCAATGCTCCAAAGCCCATTTTTACAGTCATTACATACAAGTGTTTTATACTGCTAATCATCCAGGTACATTGAAGACTGAGACGACTGTATTTACGTCGTACCTCATACATTCTTCCACATTCAACATCTTGACAAATTCGCTACGTTCCCAACATTATATACTTCTCACTTTATATGCTGCACAGACCCAATTTTTATATATTCTTACTAAATCATAAAATCTTATTGTCCCTATACAAAGTTTTTCAAACACTAAGATACAATTCTTGTGTTTTTTTGTTTACTGGTGGTACTAAATTTTTTGTGATCAATGGTTTAAAAAACCGACATGTTGAAGATTGAGACACTTATGCAGCATTTGGGAATCTTTATTCAGGAAACGTTTCGCCACACAGTGGCTTCATAAGTCCAATACAAAGTAGAAAGGCATAAGGAGAGGAGGAGTTTGAGGTAATCAGTCCCTCTGCCTGGAGTCGATGTGTTCAGTCCATCAATCTTGTAGAATGTACAGCATAGGGCCGTAGACGTGGCTTATATACTGTAGTGAGGTGAGGTGAAGCAGGTGGAGGCGGGGTCATAGTGGTACCATCCACTAGTCGAAGTAGTGAGGTGAGGTGAAGCAGGCGGAGGCGGGGTCATAGTGGTACCATCCACTAGTCGAAGTAGTGAGGTGAGGTGAAGCAGGCGGAGGCGGGGTCATAGTGGTTACCATCCACTAGTCGAAGTAGGAGTGAGGTGAAGCAGGCGGAGGCGGGGGGCGGTCCC